AATAAATATGCGCACGGTGCGCAAAACTGAAGATGCGCAAAGTTGGAGGCGCGCACAAAGCGAAACCCGGAAAGGCACAAGGCCCGGAAAGGCACAGGGCGCGCTCTTTGGGGCCCGGACCCCGCTGTGCATCGGGGCACACATATGCACCCGATCCCGCGTGGGCGTGGGCGTGCGCCGTGCGCCCATCATGTGCCCCACGGATTGTGCGTGTGTAGCATATGCGAAGCAATCGGTATACAGTTTATTTGCTGTACGTTCTTTTGGGAACACGTTATAATCAGAAGTACAAAATGCAAGATTCGAGGCGGAGGAATGGGATATGCAAAGTTGGGGCCGCAACAGAAATAAACGCACAAGGGCCGGCACCGCGCAAGCGTGGATGTGCACAATGTTGAAGATGTGCACAAAGAGGAGTTGAGCCTGCCTAGGTAGATCGGATAGCATAAATAAATCTGCGCACGGTGCGCAAAACTGGAAATGCGCAAAGTTGAAGGCGCGCACAAAGCGAAAGCCGGAAAGGCACAAGGCCCAGCACAGTTGCACTCAGTGGAGAGTGGGAATGAAGCGGGAACACGTTATTATGTGGAATGGTACATGCGCAAAGCGGAATGCGGGAAGTTTGACGCGGAGGAGAGGAAGATGCAAAGAGTATCTTTAACGTGCGAAGCCGGTTACAGGAGAAGATGCAGCGCGCGAATTGTAAAGCGGACAGGTTGTTGCTGTAAGGAAGAGAGATGCAGTGGTGAACACGCAAAGTATAGGGTATAAAGCCGGGCCCACAACATACTCCACACATAAGGCCCGATGCAAACTGCCATGCTCCTCAGCCTCCACCAGTACTGCTGCTGTAGTCGCCGCCTCAGGAGATTGCTCGGCGCCCGCAGATAGCGCTGTGAACGCGTCTACCTGCAGGTATGCGCTTTCGAACGTCGCCTCGAAGGTGGAATGACCGTCCAGCTTCATGGCGACAAGCGCCATACCAGCCGTAATGGCAGCGGTCATGCGATGCACAGTGGCACACATGTTGCCAAAGGCAGTGGGCCCACTAGCACCCGGAGTTGGCGTCCTTCCAGCGAGCAGGAAGTCCTGCACTCGGGTAAGAGCGTTGCATGTCAGCTGCGCCTGGCTGTCGTTGATGCTCTTGCCAGTGTACTTCGTGCTGTAGTAGGCAGAGTCGCGGGCGCGGTCAGCGGCAGGTTGCAGCAGTGCACAGTCCCCCCGTTCATCTTCAGGGCGGGCCAGTTGCGCTGCTGCCTCTGCCGTGTAGACGCGATCCACCTCGCACGCCAGAGTAAACAGCTGATTGCACCCAAATGCCAGCGCTGCAGCTGGCATGTGCGGTATAATGTTCGGGCCCAATCGCGGCAGAAGGAAGAGGCCGCCC